TGCCTTGTCTGAGTGACAGTGACTTTTGCTTTACAGAAGCTTTTCAGTTTCAGGAGGTCCCATCTATTAATTGTTGATCTTAGTGCCTGCACTAAGGTGCTCTGTACAGAAAGCCTTTTCCTGTGTTTAGCTGTCTTTCTCCAAGTTTACTTATTTCCCACCTACTCTTCTATCAAGTTCAGTGTATCTGGATTTAAGTTGAGGTTGTTGATCCACTTGGACTTGAGTTTTGTGCAGGGTGATAGATATGGATGTGTTTTCGTTCTTGTACATGCAGACATCCAGTTTGATCAGCACCATTTGTTTTAGATGCTGTCTTTTTTCCAATGTGTATTTCTGGTTTCTTAGTCAGGTATCCATAGGAGTGTGGACTTATGTCTGAGTCTTCAATTCAATCCCCAATGTCCTAACTTCTTCCAATTAGGCTTCATATCCTTAAGGCTCTGCCACATTCCCATAGCATATTGTGATCACTAAGCTTTTAGAATCTAGGCGTTTCAGGGCATTTACTGTCTAAACCATATGTGCATACATATATACATACACACATATATGTGTATGTACATTGTATTCTGTGCCATCACACGACTCTGTTTCAAATCAGGACATATTCTTTCTGCCAACGGGAAGGCTGTTGACAGACAAGTTTGTCAGTCTTCTCTGAGAACTTCCCTCAACTAAGGAGAGCTGCCTAGCCTAGGGGATGCCCCTTCCCAGAAGCAACTTACATTCAATGACTGGACAACGTATGGTTTCACCTTTATTCCAAACATAGATGATGTAAAAGGGTATAGTAGATCTAGAGCAACTAGTATCCAAAAACCCAGACACTGTTGGAAGTCAGACTTCCTCTTTTTCCAATTTTGCTGCTTTTCCTTCCTTCAATGGATTTAATTCAAAATAAACTTTGCTTGACTTTTGAGTCTTTTTTTGTTTGTTTGTTTGTTTTTTGTTTTTCGAGACAGGGTTTCTCTGTGTAGTTTTGGTGCCTGTCCTGGATCTCACTCTGTAGACCAGGCTGGCCTTGAACTCACAGAGATCCGCCTGGCTCTGCCTCCCAAGTGCTGAGATTAAAGGCGTGCACCACCACCGCCTGGCAAGTCTATTTTTTAATAAAACAAATTGAAATTAAAATTCAATTACATCATTCCCCCTTCCCCTTTCCTCCATTCAAGCCCTCCCATGTATCACCCCTTGATCTCTCAAATTTATGGCTTCTGGTCTCTTTTTCTTTCACACACACACACACACACACACACACACACACACACACACACACACACACACACACTCTGCTTAGTCCATACAATGTTACTTGTATGTATAAGATTTCAGGGCTGACCACTTGGTATTGGATAACAAACTGGTCTCCTCTTCCCTGGGGAGGACTCGTCTACTGCTCTCAGCATCCATTAGTTGGCTGTAGCTCTTTTTCTAGGCTTCATAGGCATCATAGCTGAGTAGGACTGTTGCTTGCTTCCCTCGTTTGGAAGCTTGCATGGTACCATGATAGCTAATCCTCAGAGACAAGGCTTCCGGGTGAAAACCAGCTCAGATTTTGTGTCTAAAATGCATGATGCCTTCAGCTATGCTTTTTCCTTCCAAGGAAATTTAATGAACAACAACTAAGTTAATAAAAGTCATTAACACAAGAAGATATCTGAAATATAATGACAAGAAAGCAGGTCACCCATATCTAACAATGTAGCCAATTAAATGAACTGAAACCCCCTTTGACATGAAATTCTCTAAGTGCAAGATAAACTACATACACAAAAAGATAAAATACACACAGAGACATCATTTTTTTAAAATTTTTGTTTTTGTTGTTTTTGAGGACAAGGTTTCTCTGTGTAGCCCTGGCTGTCCTGGAACTTGCTCTGTAAACCAGGCTGGCCTTGAACTGAGAGATCTGCCTACCTCTACCTCTCGAGTTCTGGAATTAAAGGCCTATGCCATCACAACCCAGACACACACACACACAAATCTTTTAACTGAATAGTTGAGCTCTCAAGAAACAAAGAAAAGTCTCCAGGTGCCTAAAATTAAGGGGAAACTGAAAGCCAGCATGGAAATTTTCTGAATGAAAGCTGTAGTTGCCCTAAAAAAGTTTTCATTTTTAAAGACTAAAGGACAGATGATGAGGCCTTGGGCTCAAGGGCATTATCATAAAGTAAACAGGTGGGTAAATATATTGACTGTGATAAATGATAAAATAAAGCATAGTGGAAGAGGCATGGGTGCATTAAAAGCAAGACCTTGAGTTGTTTCATGGGATGGCAAAACTAAGAAAGACTTTAGAGTTGTGAGCTTAAAGGAGGGACACAAAACAGAACCATGTAACTTTCAAAGCAGAGGAAAGAAAATAGAGAATTTATAATTTTGATTAATGGGGAAGAAAGAAAAAAATAGTGTAGAGAACTCAGAATAAAAGGTTAATTCCATAACATGCTGTAGATAAACCCAAATGCATCTTAAAAAATGCAACCAGTCTAAGACTTTCGAATACAAAATCCTAGTTGAAGTAAAAAGTTCCAAATTTTATCTTCATGTTTGCTGTTCACCTTATATAAAACATGGAAAGCATAGAAAATGATGTAAAAAAGATCACGGCAGGTGAATACCAATGGAAATTGATACAGCCATGTTAATATTACATGAAATGTTCTTGAAAACAATAAATTATTAGAAAGAACACTGCAACAAGCCAGGCATGGTAGCACACCTGTAATCCCAGTACTCGGGAGATCAGGGCAGGCTGGGCTTCATCGTGATTTTGTGGCTAGCTTGTATGTACTATATAGCAAATTCCAGGCCACTCTGAGCTATGCTACAACAACCTATCTATCTCAAAATAAAAATAGAAAGAAAAATAAAACACACACAGACAATTTACACCCTATTTTAACACAAGACAATACAATTAGAGTTCAAGAACCAAATAACTTAAAAGAAATGTATTTAGCAATGAAAAGAAAGTAGATTCTAAAACAAATTCTGCACTATTATCATCCTTTATAGGGGAAAATTGTGGTGTGCATTAGGGAAAATAAAGTGGGAAGAGACACCAGCTTGTAGGTACTTTCTGGTTTTGCTTGAATTTCAAAGTATTTTGTATATGGTTAAAGTTTCGTAGCTGCAGTACACCATCATGTATATTTTTCTAATGAATAAAATCAATAATATATTTTATTTAAAGTACAATGTATAGGATAATAATTTGCTTGTGCTGCTGCAATCCATCCCAACTGCCCTCTGTTTTTTTCCTCTTCTTATCATCTCCTAACATACTCTCTTCCCCAAGCACTGAGAATAAAGTTCCGAATTGAACCATAGTTCACAAGGTTCTATAGGACAGTTCCCTGGTTTACATTTCCAGCCTTCTTTCCAATCATAGTTCCCCCACGATTATGCCTTTCCCTTTTTTTTTAACTGCTCTTGTAGACCCACATCTTCACATCTGCTAACCCTTGTACTGAAAAGCTTTACTGCTCTCAATTCCCCAAGACCCTGTGTATCTTGTCTTCAGTTTTCATGCTAGTTAGGTTTGGGGGGGGGCTGGGGGGTGGGGAGAGTTTGTTTGTCTACAGGACAAAAGTTGGAGTTATCTGAGAGGAAAGAACCTCAGGAATTGTGTCCATCAGACTGGCCTGTGGTCATGTCTGTGAGGACATCTTAATGAGGTGGGAGGACCCAGTCACTATGGGTGGTTCTACCCCTGGTCAGGTCCTGGATGGCATAAGAAAGCAGGCTGAGCAAGCTATGGAGAGCAAGCAGCCTCCTTCCGTGGTTCCTGTTTCAATTCCTACCTTGACTCTCCTGGAGGATGGACTGTGATGTGGAAGTGGAAGTCAGATAAACCTTTTCATTCCCAAGTAGCTTTTGGTCATGCTGTTTCATCACAGCAAGAAAAAGCAAGCCAGGATAGTAGAATATTCTATGCCACAATTGTGGTTTGAAATTACAATCCGGAAAGTGGCTATGATTCCCTAAAAATGGTGAAAAGATAATCTTCCTTTTATATTGTATTTCTACATTTTATTTAGTGGACAATTTCTATTTAAAAGAAGAAAGTCTTGTGAATTTGCCTTAAAACAAAGCAACAGTATAACCAATGCTATTTTTACTCTAAGGCTAAGGACAGTAAAGGAGAATGATTTCTAGACAGGCGTAATTATTGAGCATATTTTGCTGTTCTTGGAGCCCTGTTTCTTTATATAATTGATATAGCACAATGTAAGTAAAGGCCAAGTCATGGTGACCTAAATATCTTCTGGTCTAGGGACAACTTGAAGACATTCTGTTAGTTTGAGAAATAATTGTCTTCATAATTAGAGCCAGTGTTAAAGGAAAAAGAGACACTTTTCAGAGTCACCAATGTTCTCTAGAGAAAAAAAATATTGGTTACTACTTAATATTGCCCCAGAGATTATATGTTAGGTTGTGATATTAAATTACTTTTTGAGACAGGGACTCTGTATATAGTCCTGGCTTTCCTGGAACTTACTGTGTAGAGCAGGCTGGCCTTGAACTCACAGAGATCCGCCTGTCTCTGCCTCCTGAGTGCTGGGATTAAAGGTGTGCGCCACCACTCCCTGACCTGTGATATTAAATTCTTAGAACATAACTGTCAAAGAAGATGCTAATAAAGCGAAGCAAACATCCTTTAAGTGCTGCAACAGCAGTGACTGAAATCCATAGACACGAACTTCCTTTGTGTCGCTCCCTCCATCCCTCCGTCCCTCCCTCCCTCCCTCTTCCCCTCACAGAACACAGTCATGTTGGTAACTTCTTCCAAAACCTTAGTCTAATTCTTCTGCTGGATCTAGTTACAAACTAGATGTCTGGTAGTTATAAACATAATTGACACCAGGAAATATTTTACTGAGTAGTCTCTTGATGGTTAACACAGAAGTGAGAAACATATTTCAGATGTTTATCTCTTTTCAAAATTTACTCTCACTTAATCTTACACTTCGGCAATGATGTGTGAAGTCAAGTTACAACAATGATAAAATATAACTTTTAATAAACAGTTATGAGATAAACGTATTCAATAGTACAGAAAATGCACGGAACACTGGAACAATGTATAAAAATAAGAATGTCCCATTAGGAAGATAAAAATGAGAGAAACTTGAATCTACAGATATATCGATAAATATTCCTTTTTCAAGTAAACATGGCTCATAAGATACAGCAAATTATTTATAGTCCTTTTTTACCTATATGTTAAGGAACAATATTGAGGGCATAGATAGAAAACAACATAAATCATTGATAAAATCAATGAAAAACAACCAAATGAATTTTTCTGGTGATAATTATGATGAACCCCTACATAGCAGATTCTATCATAATGTAATTAACTAGATCTTCAGACTGCTGATGTAAGTGAGCCACCTAGTTTATGGTCACAGTTGCGCTGAGCAATTGATCATGGAATCTAGTTGGTTAATCTGTAAATATTTTATTCAGCTCTCACTATAAAAATGGAACAGCGCCTTATTGTACGAGAGAACTACATTTCCTACAGTAACAGAAGTGACTGTAACTGATCAAAACACCACTAAAATTCTGGATCTTTCTACAGTATGTTAGAACACAAAAGAGAACACAGCCAATATCCAAAGACTAAAAAACTGTTATCACTGCCATGTAGTTTTCCCGTATATTCTCTTTATTCATGCAGTTTCAGGAAAGATTGAAATCAAACTCCCTTTGCAGGGTCAGCCTGACTTCAAGTGTTGCAGCTTCCTGGATATAGGATGCTCTAGCACTGTTACTTTCCACAGGGTGGGGAAAGTTTACTATCAGCTTCCTAAAAATGAGACAAGATAAAACAAAATAAGATTAGAACCCAGAATTAACTTCCTGAAGTACTATAGCATTTTTAATAAGGCAGTGTGTGTGTGTGTGTGTGTGTGAGAGAGAGAGAGAGAGAGAGAGAGAGAGAGAGAGAGAGAGAGAGAGAGAGAGAGAGCAGGATGCCTGAGTTTCCCATAAAAGTACTTCGACAATATAATTACCAAATAAAAATATATCTATATAACACAGATCATGCATCAGTTTGGATCCTTATACTTCTAAGCAGGCAAGCCACATGCATACCCATAATGCTAACACTCTGGATGTGGAAGTAGGAAGACCCCAAGTTCAGGGCCAGTGCAGACAACAATGAGAATCCCAGGCTACCCTGGGATGCATAGTAAGAGCCTGTCCCATTTTTAAAAATTCAAATAGTTGTTTTGAGTGAGTCTACCTCTTTCTTTAAACTGACCCCCTTTTACATCATCTAAACAGTCTCAGGTTATGTCTCTAGCATAGAAATAGAACCATGCCTCTTTAAGTTTGTTTGGCTAATCTGGTGTCAGTCTAATTTATATGTAGGTGGAATTCAGACAGCTGATACAAATCTGAAATTGGAGTGCTTCTTTAACGCTTCTGCTAACACCACTTTAGGCTGAACCTCTACTACATATGTAGACTTGAAAGATTTGGCCTGGACTGATTTCAATGCCAGGTCAATGAAAATATTTCTTTCTGCTTGCTTCTGGTTCTTACTACTACACATTGACAAAAATTTCTTGCAATAGGTTGCTTGGTTTATCTTGCCGTTTATGGCCCAGCAGCTGGACAGTTGTATGCTTTTAGATGCATCACTGCGATGAGCCAACCATAATCCTGTCATACTGCTATGAATCTAAATTACGCAAAGGGTCAGAGCATACTGATACCTGAAGAAATGTAAATATGTGAAACACGTATTAACCTCACTTTCTCAGTAGACAGGGCTTAAGTGTGCATGTGTGGATGTGGTGTATGTATTTGTGTTTCTCTGTGTGTGCTCATGCAGGGCAGAGGTTGACATCAAGTGCCTTCCTCAATTGTTCTTCCTTTTTTTTTTTTTTTTTTTTTTTTTTTTTTTTTTTGAGCCAGTAAGCAGCACTCCTCCATGTCCTCTGTTTCAGTTCTTGTCTCCAGGTTCCTGGCCTGCTTGAGTGCCTGCTCTGGCTTTCCTCAGTGATGGACTAGGACCTGAGAACTGTAAAGATAAAATAAGCCCTCTCCTCCCCAGGTTGCTTTTGGTCGGGGTTTTATAACAACAACAGAAAGCTAACGCAGACAGTATATATGTTATTTTTCATTTGTACATGTTATTTAGATAATTTAACATATAAATAGAGTATGCAAATGACCTGGTGCAGCCCGAGTTCTATGTGGGAAAGTGCCTCTGTGAGAGACTTTCAATTTAGTGAGTTCTGATGGATATCTGGAATGATGGCAAAGCCAGAGCAGCTGCCTCAAGATTGATGGAGACAGTGAGAACTGCTAGAGAAACGGAAATTAACTGCACAGTGTGGAGATGTGCGTGTGATTTTAGCAGGCATGAAAATATGGAAGACTGTTCATTTAACCAACTTTCCTTACAAAGGTTGTAGGAAGAATAAATGCATATAAAAATATTGTGTAAAGCTTAACTACTCCTTGGAGTGATGATAAGAATAGTGAATCTAATTTTTGTAAGATGGGATATTTTTGTGAGAATACATTTTTAAGTGGTGGGAATGATCAGAAGAAAGTTTAGATAAATATTCATCTGTAGATCATTTGTGTTAAATGAATCTACTGCAGAAATAAAGAGTAGACTTTTGTAGACTAATCTCCTCAAAGCTCTAAGCTCAACAAAAGAAAATTATAGATACTGATTATAAAGGAAAAGAATGTTCCAGGAACTGCCTGCTTCCTAAGCCCAGTGGGAAATGATGATGAGTTCCAGAGAACAGGCCACAGCAATCACTAATACAAGCTCACTACTACACATCCACACAGAAAGGGAATAATCAGTGAGATATTTCTTCTAATACATGCTGGATTCCAACACTGTCCTTTTAAAAGACTTAGTTTTGAGAGACAGGACTGGTTTATCTATGCTTCAGGGGAAATATTTTGTAAGAATTTTCCTGAATGTGTTGTCTGAGGAACATGATTTGAACTGATGTAATGAGAAGACTATCCTTTTGTGGATTTTAAAAAAATAAACATACCTCAAATTTTACCTTAGAGGCCTACTAACATCTAAAAAGTTTAAAGATAATGCTTCTCTTATATAACCACTGTGCCAAATTTTCTATTAGTATGTATGCAAGGCTTACAGCTTAGCATTTCCAGTTATTTTTTTCCTGATAGATAAAACTATATTTGAATGTCAAGGATTATGTTTCCAGGATATCAACCCATATCCAATATGCAGTTGCAAAATATGAAAGCTAGATATTTTCAAACATTTTTTGGATTGATCACAGTCCTGTGCATGCTAGGCAAGTACTTTACCAAAAAGTTATATCCTAGCCCAAAATTCACTTTATTGTGCAGATCAAAATATCTGAATTCTCAATGGGCATTTCATCCTTCTTAGGACTTCAAGGTTGATTAAAACTAACTATACTTTCAAAAGCAGTATTTTAATGACTCATTAATGTGGTAATAGCCTATTTCAATTCTGTTTTACTCACTTTTTAGGAGTGCGGAGATCAAGGAGAGTTTCTTGGATGTCAATCTGAATTTCAGAAGGGTTTGTATCAGGCAGTTTAATTTTCACCTAAGATAAATAAGAAAATACTATCATTTTGGAGAGGAGTTACTTTTAAAAGCATAAGGATGTATGAAGAATGGAGACATAATGTTGTTTGAATCTTAAATGGTCTTTTAACAACAAAAAACCCAAACAAACAAACAAACAAAACCCAGAGCCAGATATCAGGGTGAAAACTGAAAGATCAGAGAAGCAGAACAGCCAGCCACTAGTTCTTACCTCTATGAAAACCTCAGCCTAAAGAGAGTGAGGTCCTGTTTCCTTTTTCTGCCCTGCCATATTACTTCCTGGGATTAAAGGCCTGTGTGCTTCCCAAGCAAAGGCATGAGATCTCAAGTGCTCGGATTAAAGATGGGTGCCACCACTGCCTGGCTCTGTGTCTAATCTAGTGGCTCTGTTATCTGATCCTCAGGCAAATTTATTATGGTACACAATATATCACCACAATATAATATGTACTAAGAGGAAGTGCCAACTATGTGCCAGGTTATGTGATTTCCCTTTATTGATCTTAATTTTTCTCATGGAGAGACCGAGTAGTTCAGTGAGTGGATAAAGGACAGCCATCGGTAATGTGACTAAAAGTTTTCTGACTCACCACTAGATTTGGTAGAGATCTTTGAACACCTTTATATTAGTAGGTTTCATATAAATGTATAAAATGTCATGTTAAGTGTAGGTTGGCGATGGTAATTTGTAGTCTCCTGGTAAAAATACCCATACCACATTTCCCGGGAAAGTGCTGGCATCCAAAAAAGTTAAATTAAAAAAATATATAACTTACATCTCCTAAGAAGGACTATCTACTAGTTTAGCAAGATTTCACTTACAAACGTCTCATCACAGTGACCACAGGGCCCAGCAGCCAGCAGCAGTTCTACTTCTGGTTATATATCCAAAAGCATTGAAAGCAGGAACTCAAGGCCAATTATGGCTACACACTGAGTTTGAGGAAAGCCTGGGCTACATTAGACCTCGCCTCAAAACGATAGCAATGACAAAAAGGAAAAAACAAGACAAAAGAAAGAAAAAGAAAAAATTCAAAAAAAAATTGTACATGGTTTTGTTCATGATAGCTGTATTCAACATAGTCAAAATATATAAACATCCAAAATATGCATCAGTCGATGAATGGATAAAGTGTAGCATGTACACACAATGGAATATTATTCAGCTGAAGAAAAGGACAAAGTATATTAACTATTTATAAATGTATATGAGTATGCTGTCCGCATGTTGTCTGTGCACTATATGTATACCTGGTGTCTAGTGGTCAGAGGAAGGCAGAGATCTCCTGGACTGGAGTTACAGGCAGTTGTGAGCCACCATGTGGGTGTTGGGAATCCAACCCAGGCCTTCTGCCAGAGCCACTAGTGCTCTTTACTGCTGAGCCATCTCTCTAGCCAGATCCAGCACATTTTATTGATAAATCCTGAAAACATTATGCTAAAGGAAAGAGGCCAAGCATTAAAAGGTGCATTTTGTGGGATTCAATTTATATGGCATGTTCACCATAGGCCAATCCAGAGACAGAAAGTGGACTGGAGTTTGATAGGGGCTGTGGAGTGGAGAAAAGTGGTATCTGCTTAATGTGTATGAGATTTCCTTTTAAGTATATGAAATAATTTGGAAATAGATATTAGTGGTAGTTACACAGCACTGTGAATACATCAAGTGTCACCAAGGATAAATGTATATTTTACCGCCAAATTACACTTCTCTAATTTACATCTGTCTTAGTTAGGGTTTTTATCGCTGTGATAAAATGACATGATCATAAACAACTTGGGGAAGAACAGGTTTACTTGGTTTTAGAGCTTATAGCCTCTAGGGCAGGAACGGATGCAGAAGGCTGCTACTGGCTCAGTCCCCATGGATTGCTATTCTTATGCACCCCAGGACCACCTGCCCAGGAATGTCCCCACCCCAGCAAGCTAGGCCCTCCTCCATCAATCATAAATTTAAAATAATGGACAGAAGGCTTGCCCAAGGGCCAGTCTAGTGGGAATATTTTCTCAATTGAGGTTACCTCTTCAAAAATGACTCTCACTTGTGTCAAGGTGACATCAATTAGCCAGCAGACCATCTACTCTTTTTGTGATGGGAGTTGACATATATTATGATATGCATATATAAATGTGTGAAGACATGTAATTTCCATAAACAAAGGAACAAAGAAAATGGAATCCAAAGTTCAGGTAAATTATGAAGCTTTTTCCAGGGTAAACTAGATGACCTGACATTTTAGTTATTTGGAGAGTGCAACTGTTGGAATGGCCAGGGTAAAAGCAAGCTTTAAGGGAAATGCATATGAAATAATGTAACATACTGGAATTTCCTCCTAAAATGCTCAATACATAGTGTAAGGTTTGTGGATCAATACATGTTTCTGAATTATATTTTCTTTATTAAATCTCTACTTAAGTATGATGATAAATAGCAATCTAGAGGTGACAGAATTTAAGTACTTCCTGTGGTTAACTTTACATTTTAGAAATTAAATCTTCACAATTAGAGATGCCTTAAGTGAAATAAATAGCACATTTTTCACAGAAGCAGTTATAGGCCCTCTGCCTCAAAATAAATGAGCATTAGCTGGGACGAAAGTCCCACTTTCACTGAAATAACCTTCCAGTCAGATAGCCAATTTGAGATGCCCTTTAATGTGTCATAGTCGCCAAATGGATCAAGGGATAGAACTATTTGTTTCTTCACTTTGAAATGTTTAGATCTTTAAAACAGTATTTCATAACGGTTGAAAGGATAATTGAGAAGAAATACTGATGATGTATGAGAAATTTAGATAGAATTCCTAGGCAGAACTTCAAAGTGGTTATTATAATAATCTGTGGTTCCAGTGAAAGATAATTCAAAGAAGCAGCTCACTAATTTTTCCTCTTAAGAAAATTAAAAGTGTCTGCTACAATATTTCAAAGGAGGGACAAGAGAAAAGACAGATTAGGTGGGATGGTGCACACCAATATCTCACAAGATAAGGATTCCATGGGGATCTTAACAGCAAATCCCCTCTTGAAACTGGAAGGACTTGTACTCGTCACATGGATCAAGGGATATAGCTGTTTCTTTACTTTGAACTGTTTAGTTCTTTAAGAGTAAAAAATTATCTCTTGTAATCTTAGCAGAAAACCCCTCCTGAAACATGAGTCAAACTTGTTTAATAATTGGTACTGTCAATGAATACTTGGAAAATAGTTGACCTCTGATTGTGCGCAAAGCTTTCTTTGTTAAAAATTGCCAAGTATGGGATACCACTGACCAAACAAAGGAATTTAGGTTCTTTCTTTTACATAGTTTACAAACTGAATTCATTTAGAAATGACTTCACAAACAAGATCTGAACAATGATGTTATCAATAGAGGTGCTAATGCTCACCGCAGAAAATACCATGGGATTCCACCCACTAGACAAGGAACTACAAGCAACTAATGACTGCTGAAAAAGGGAGACTCAGTCCCTACTAGGAATGAGCTCCCTAATTAGTTACCCACCACAAAATGTTCAGCCCTAAAATCATATACATACAAACAATAAAAATGGACTCAGCAGGTTGTGTGTGTGCACACACACATAAGAAAAGGAGGCTGACAACTTGAGGGGGACATGGGTGGGGCTAAAGGGGTAAAAGGAAGGGGAAGGGATGTAATTCTATTCCAATTAAGACGTACTTTAAAAAAGGAATAATTTTAGAACGTTTCATATGTAACTTGGCTGGTCTATAATATTTACTGGAATTTTAGTAAAACTTAATATGTACAGATGGTTTCAGGTTGGTATTTTGAAAACCATTCTAAATTAATTCAAGGGCTGTAGATATCATAAAATACTTCTATTTGTCAGAAGTATAGACACTATTCCTGATACATTTGATTCTTTAAAAAAGTTAAAACAAAACATCAGGAAACTGTGGTAAAAGAGACTTGGATAGGTTTTATCTTGAATTGCTTCAACAATTTAATTTCCCATTGCTGAACTATGGAAACACATGAGATCTTTTTTTTCCATGCCACCACAGTAGTTTATAAAAAAAAAAAACAACTTTTGAACAACAGTAATCTGTAGGAAAATGAAAAAACAAAAATGATGGATCCATACCTTGAATTTATATAAATATTCATCTTTAAAGAATAAGTATATAGCCGGGCGGTGGTGGCGCACGCCTTTAATCCTAGCACTCGGGAGGCAGAGGCAGGCGGATCTCTGTGAGTTCGAGGCCAGCCTGGACTACCAAGTGAGTTCCAGGAAAGGCGCAAAGCTACACAGAGAAACCCTGTCTCGAAAAATCAAAAAAAAAAAAAAAAGAATAAGTATATAGAAACATGTATTCTCTATAACAAGGGCACAAAATCAATAAGGCATAGTTGTAATTAATGTAAGTTTTCTGTAATGTCATTATCGTTTGAAACATTCCAGTACTATATTGCCATGCCTTCCTTTTCTTTTTAAAATACGTCCCAGAAACATGACTCTTCTCCTATCATAGGAGTCAAGAGGAAGCTCAAGAGTCAACAGGTGTGGTGAGGTGGCCTGTAACTCCAGCAGTTGGAAGACAGGCAGGAGGATTGTGAATTCAAGGCCAGACTAGGAAACATAGTGAGACACTGCTTACAAAGCCAAAAACCAAGCTCAGCTCATCCTCAGTCTTCCACAGATACCTAATCTTCCCCTGCTATCTGTCTTGATACAACGCAAACCAAAGCCATTATGCTTCTCTCTCCATTTTCCCAAAACAATAAGAAGCCTCATTCTTTATAACCTAATAATTAGCATATGGCTATTTGTATCTCTTCTGCTGCTGTTTCCTCCACTTCACTGATTCCTTGATGTCTTCTGTTAGGTCCACTGGAACACAGAACGCCTCACCCCTTCCTCACTGCTCACCTCTTTGAATGGTCTCTTTCTTTTCTGTCTAAGTGAAATCTGTATCTCCACTGAGGGCACCATTTCCCTCACAGTCTTTCCAGTTGGTTCCTGGGTTTGTTTGTTT